GGGCACAGGCCCTAGCTAGAATGACAGAGAGACAGAAAGCAAGAAATCACCCCCATGGGAGATGGCCACACTGCAATTCCTTCTCCTCCATTCTCCTCTCAGGATCTTGGGCACGCATGCACACGCACCTGGCGTGAGTTTAAGTCACCGGGTCTGGGACTTGAACCACAGTCAACTGCATGGGAGTTGAGCGACATAGCCATTACACAAACTGCTGATCCCTTGCCTGCTCATTTCTACAATCTGACCATGACCCTGGCTCTGGCCACACCAGCCCTCTGGCCCATGTAGTTCATACAGTCCCCCCAAGGAGTTGTGGTCCAGAAGTTTATAAGCCAGTTAGTGCACAGACAGTGCTCAAACAGTGACAACAGAGAAGTAATTGTAAAATAATTAAGGAGGACTTTCAAGATGACAGGCCCCTGAAGGGTCCCCATTCCACAGTCTCGCCCTCACCTCAGTTCAAGTTGATCTCTGCAGTCAGAGACTGACTCATGAGAACCAAACCCAGAGAGGTTCCAGTTAGTTGACCAGAATCCACTCTTTCGTAGGTATTCGGATAACAGGATGACAGAGGTTAGTTGGTGAACATGGGACCAGATGAAATGACTGAATCTTGAGGGACATTTCTCCACCGAGCACGTGGATAAACTGTTCCAGGGAGTCTTTCTCCCAGGCTCACTGAGTGGGCTTCCTGCTTCCTTGGCAAGCCACCTCTCCCAGCTCTGGTAAGGCCATTGATTTGACTCCACATCTTTGCCAGGTGGTCAGGCCTGAATTCAGTTTCAGATCCCTGTTCTTCCTCCTGGTCCTAGGACATGTCCAATTCTGAGGCTTCTGACAGCGCCTTCTGCAGTTGGAGAACCCCTTCATAGAGGCTCCCTAATGCAAGCACCCAGCCCTGTTTGCGTGTCTAGTTGGCCTTTGGTTGGGGAATCAGTGTCGTGTAGAACATGTGTTAAGGAACACATTTCACAAGAATCCTTGTCCAAGTCAGTCCCTTATTGAAATTCAGTTAAAGGTGTAGCACTAATCAGCCTGCCAGAAAATGTTTACACATTATTAAAAGGGCCAGGAGTGAAGTGATGTCATCCAATGAAAGAGTGGGGACTGAAAGGACTTGATTTGAATGAATTGCCCTAGGGCGCTTTAGTGGACGCACATGTGTAAAATGGACACAATCAGGCTAGTTGTGCAGAGTCATTGCAGTTAGAGCAGTGTAAGTAGGGAACCAGCAGTTAGCGTAATGGCTATGTCACTGGACTCCCATGTAGTCAACCGTGGTTCGCGTCCCAGACCCGGTGGCTTAAAACCCACGCTGGGTGTGTGTGCGTGTGTGCCCAAGATCCCGAGAGGAGAATGGAGGAGAAGGGATTGTGGCGTGGCCATCCCCTCTGGGGGGTGATTTCTCGCTTTCTGTCTCTCTGTTTCTCTCTGTCTGGCGAGTGCACGCGCCCTATAGTGAAAAAACTCTCAAAAAAAAAAAAAAAGAACAGTGTAAGTAAACATCCTGGGTCCAATTTATTTTCAATAAATGGTAGCTGCTCTTGCTACTGTGGGATTTTTTTTTTAATTTCATTTTCTAGACAGCCCACTTGGAACAGAACTGTTCCAAATTGCCTTAATTCTCACTTTCCACAGCTATGTCAAGCCCAGCAATGTCCTTTCAGCTTTTCCATTCCATTTCTATTCACAGAAAGCAAGCTGTCTCACAGGATTGTAATACAGAGTATTTGTTTCACGGTATGAATTTTCCGCATTAAATTTTAGCAGCTGAACTAAATTAATACTTCAAATTCTGAGAAATTGTTTTCTGCCATTAAGAAAAAGGAAAAATAATTCTATTTGAAATTTGGGATTCACATTTCATAGAAATAATAATAAACTATATATGTGTGTATATATAGTTGCTGTAAGAGAGGAAGAAAAGTGAGAAAGCCCTCTGCAGAGGGGATGGCCATGTCACAATCCCTTCTCCAGTCTCTTCTTGGGATTTTGGCGTGCACACACATATACCCAGCATGTTTTTCAGGCCACAGGTGTGAGACTCAAACGGTGCAGTCACCTGCCGGGGTCCAGCCTTGGCGGGGGTGGGTTGACTCATAGGAGGCGGCACAGGTGAACAGAAACAAAAATTAGACTAAGACCTCAATGCCTCTTAGCATGTCCTCAGCCAGCCACAGCCAGAGCAAAACTCTGGTGCCAATCGTCACCCTTGTGGTATCCAGCCGCCTTAACCACCACCCCACCAGTTGGCCCTAGAAATAATGTATTTCAAGTAGTCAGTGTCCCAGGCTGCCCAGGCTTAAGGCTCAAACTCCACGATGGAGCTTTCCAAATTGTAGTGCATATGAATCACCAGGGATCTTGTTGAAGTGCTGAAGCAAATTCAGTGGGGGCAGAGGGGATTGAAAGTGGGCTTGCTTGCTTTCTTTCTTTCTTTCTTTCTTTCTTTCTTTCTTTCTTTCTTTCTTTCTTTCTTTTTCAGGTCTTTGCCATAGGACACATGCTCTCACCAAAGAGAGGGAAAGTGAGAAATCACCTCCCGGGGGGATGGTCTCACCACAGTCCTTTCTTTTCCATTCTCCTCTTGGGATTTTGGGCACACACACACATGTTTCTGGTGTAATTCTCAAGCTGCTGGGTACTAGGTTTGAACCATGGTCCACCATGTAGGAGTCCAACACCTTAACCACCACACCACCTTTTGACCCCAAGAGCAGATTTTCTTTCTTTCTTTCTTTCTTTCTTTTTTTTTTTTTTTTAATGAGGTTTTAGCCTTAGGTCACGTGCACTCACCAGAGAAAGAGAGACAGAAGTGGTGAGAGGGAAAGTGAGAAATCTCCCCCCAGGGTGGCCACGCCACAATCCATTCTCCTTCTGGGATTGTGGGCATTCATGCACATGTGCCTAGAATGATTTACAGGCTATTGGATCTAGACTCCAACTGTAGTCGACCACGTAGGAGTCCTATGACATAACCACCATACTATCTGCTGGCCCCAAGAGCGGACTTTCTAACAGCTCCTGAGTGCTGCCCATCCTGCTGATCTGGAACTGCACTTTGAGTACCAAGGACCGGGTGGAAGAAGCTGGCATTACTTAGGTGCAGAGCAGGTGTGGTATGGCCAGGACGAGGGTCTCAGGTGAGGCCCAAGAACAGGACATCAAGGAGTGGGGACAAGGCTCATGGCTGGTGTAGTTCCCGGGTGCCTCCTTGCCATCGTCTCTCCTGCTGTTGGTGTTGCCAGGCTGCCCCCTCCACTGCTGTTACCCCCACACTCTTCCACCCAGCCATAGCCAGGCCTTCCCTTTGTTCCCTGAGCAGACACACTGCAGAAAGCACCTCTCTGGTAAGCAGCCTAGACGCCATAGTTCTTACTCTTCCTCCTGCCTGTCTTTATTCTCTGATCCCACAGGTCGAATATTCCTTATCCAAAATACTTGGGACCAGAAGTATTTCAGATTTAAGATTTTTCTCGGATTTTGCAATATTCACACATACACATTGAGATATCTTGGGGAAAGGACTCAGGTCTAAACACAAAATTCACCTGTTTCATATACACTTTACACATGTAAGCTGAAGGTGATTTTATACAATAGTTTTGTATTACAACACTTGACTACAACCTGGCACGTGAGGTTAGGTGTGGAATTTTCCACTGTGGCATCATGTTAGTACTTAAAAGTTTCAGAGTTTGAAGCATTTTGGATTTCAAATGTTTGGATTTGGGATGCTCACCCTATATACGGAGGTACTAAGGAATGCAAAGATAGGAGTGGCTGGTCACCGAGTGCATCACAGATAAGCACTAAACCCACGCCCCCCCCTCCATCCCACCTGCCTCACTCTTCTCTTCCCATCACACGCTATCCCTTCTCTCCCTGGAGGGCTGGGAGCACTTTGAGGGCAGGACAAGAAACAGAGTCATCTTAGTGTTCCTGCAGTGAATACCCAGAGCTAGGCCAGTGGCAGGGATCTCTGAGAAAATGGAGAAGAAACCCAAGGGGGAAGGGGGACTGGGGCAGGAATGGAGAGTAAGAAAGAATTTCATCTTAAAAATGAATGAGGAAGAAGAGTAGCTTGAAGCAATTTGGTTTTCCATCAACTTGGCCAAGATACATTTCTAGTAGTTTCATGACAACCCTCCTGCTTACTCAGGCCTCATGCCTTGAGTCTGCTGTTCCCCTGCAGTGGGTAGTGAGCAGGGGGAGACACTGGATCAGGCTTCTCGTCTCTTCAGGCACCTTGGCTTAGCATCCCCCCTGCTCAGTCCTTCCAGAACAGCAGCATTCTTAGCAATGAGGTAAAGATAACCCCATTCGTTCTATTTGTGTGGGTTTATTTATTTTTGGTAAGAGGTTTTTGCATGCGCCCACCTGCCTGGGAGAGAGACAGTGAAGAGATAATGAGAAACCACCCCCGCCCGGGGCGATAGCCAGGTCACAATCCCTTCTCCTCCGTTCTCCTGCTGGGATCTTTGGTATGCACACGCATGTGCCTGACTTGAGTTTTAAGTCACCAGGTCCAGGACTTGAGCTGCAGTCAGTCATGTGGGAGCCCACTAATGTAACTGCTATGCCCTCTGCTGGCCCCAACGTCATCCCTTTTCAAAGTTAACCAATGAGGCCAGCCTCATTGCATAATGATTAAGGGAGCCAGGTCTCACATGACTGACTACAATTTAAATCCTGGCTCCAGAGGCATAAATAGCATGCCAGGGGTACATGCACATGCATGCCCCAAATCCTGACAGAGTAGAGGAATGGAGGAAAGAAGATTTTAGTATGACCATGCCCCATTGGGAGGTGCTTTCTCTCCGTATGTCTCTGTCTCTCTCTGGGGAGTACAAGAAAATAAAAATAAAGTAAAAAAATTAAAATTGACTTAGGTAAAGTCAATTGACTTAGGTAAAGTCAATTTGGGGGAAAAGAAAGATTAAGACAGTATTCCTAACAAGTCTAATGCATGACTGTGCTTTGTTTTGTTTTTACAGATCTATCAGCAAGACTGTTGAAAGCCTGAGTGTCCAAGATGCCCGTCCCTCCCCCTCCAGCACCCCCACCGCCCCCAACATTTGCGCTGGTGAGTGTCACACCATTTTCCATGCCTAGAAAGTCAGTGCACAGAGATTGGTAAAGTATATTTGCATTCTGGCTTAAGTGCAATATGGCAAGCTCTCCTGATGCTCAGCCTAAGCCAAACCCTGAGACCGAGTGAACTATGCACAGCTTGATGGGTTAGTTTGTTTAAGGTCTCCTGCAATGCATAGCGCAAGTGTGGAATGTGGATGGTTAGGTTTCTTCTGCCTCATCCATCTAGAGATACATGCTGGCCCAAGATGGGGCACAGGAGCAGTTCTGAGACCAGCACGCATTGTTGCTGTTCAAATGAACTCAACATCCAGCCGACAGTCCAGAGACCCGTCTCTGCAGTGCATCCGTCCATGAAAGTGTCTTCCAGTCTCACTTCTTTCTTTCCCTCTGCCTTTTCCCTCTTTCTTCTCTTGGTTTTTGACTGATTTCATCAATCTACCACCACCTCTTCCATATACACTCACACACCCCCTTTAAATCTAGCCCCACATTTAGAAGTCCACTTCCCAAGGGAATATTTTTTACAAGACTTATCCTGGTCCCTTGATACCCCCATCCTGGGAAGTACACCTTTGTCCAGGAAGTCGGCAGCCCTTTGCATGGTAATACGAAAAGTCTCCGAGACCCACTCCGTTAGAAAGGCTTCTCCCAGCAGGTGAAGCAGCCTCACACTGGTGCCTTCATTTTTCCCATGGGGAAATTGGACTCAGAGAGGAAAATTCTCTGCTCCAGGTTTACGTGAGACACATTTCTGTAACCAGTCTGAGTTTGGAAGCTAGCTGGGGGAAACTGACCACTAATTAGCCTCCTGCTACTCAAAGCATGATCCTCCAACTGATTGTTAGAGTCCAGGAAGATGAGACAGAAGTTAGTTGAAAGTGAACATTTAGAAATATTCACAGTGGGGCCAGCTGGTGGTAGCAACCAGATCCCACATGGCTGACCTTACGGCTGGCATCCTAGACCTAGCGGCTTGAAAAACACACCAGCTACATATACATGCGTGCCCAAAATCCTGAGAGGAGAATGGAAGAGAAGGAATTGTGTCTTGGCCATGCCCCCTGCCAGGTCCAGGACTCGAATCATGGTCAGCTGTATGGGAGTCCAGAGCCTTAACCACCATGCCACCCGCTGGTCCAGGAAAATAATTTTTTAAAACTATTCCCCCATGTAGGTAAGTTTTAGAAGCCCTGATCTGGCAAACATAGCGAAATTCATTTATCAGGGCCAGCATGTGCCACGGTGGTTGAGGGTGCTGGACTCCCACATGGCCAACCGCGGTTCAAGTCCTGGACCTGGCAGCTTGCTTTCTCACTTTCCCTCTTTCTCTCACTCTGTCCCTCTCTGATCACATTAAAAATAAACAAATAAATAAAGTTAAATAAAATAATTCTTAAAAAAATTTTTTAGAAAAGAATTTGTTTGGGGACCAGCAGTTAGCATAGTGGCTATGTCACTGGACTCCCATGTAGTTGACCGTGGTTCGAGTCCCAGACCTGGTGGCTTAAACTCATGCCAGGCGCGTGTGTGTGCGTGCCCAAGATCCCGAGAGGAGAATGGAGGAGAAGGGATTGCGGCGTGGTCATCCCCCCTGGGGGGTGATTTCTCGCTTTCTGTCTCTCTGTCTCTCTCTGTCTTGCTGGCAAGCGTATGTGCCCTATGGAAAAAAAAAACTCTCAACATAAAAATAATTCATTTGTCAGTGTTATTCCAAAAGTGTGTTTTGTGTACCCCTGCTGGATAGTACATGGATTAATTTTTTTAAACTGTAATTCTCTTGTGTTTATTTTCATGTGTGTTCTAAAAATTATAACTAGCACATGAAATCTGAGGTTTAATAGTGAGTTAATTTAAAATAAAATGTTTATTCATTGAAAAACAGTATCATAAGTTATATAGCAAATTGACTTGATGAAGCATTAAATGATTAATGGCACAAATGGCATGAGAAGATGACAGAAATCATAAATGTGAACCAGAAGGACTGACATTTAGAAAATCCTTGTTTATCCTGTAAACGCATTTCTAGCATGATTCCTAACTCAGAGCAAGGCCCTGGAGAAAGAAGACATAGGGATGGACAAGGGAAAGATGTGCTGGTGGCCGTCACAGGACACTGTGCTGGTGGGGTAATGCACTGAGGGCCCAGGCCTGCCCCGTGAGAGGGGTTAGCACTCACGAAGATCAGGTGTCAAGATAAGTTTTGTAGCAGGGCCAAAGCCATGAAGGTTGCTGACCCAAAACCATTAAGAGTTCTCCTATGGACATATCACTTAACCTCTCTAGGCCTCAGATATTTTCTATCCTTCAAATGAAAATGCTGGATAATTTCAAAAGCTCTTACCAAGATGTTCAAGGTATAAAACAAACTTCAGAGTAATAGAAGATAATCTCATTAGCAAAAGCAAGCTTTATATGCAAAGAACATATCTGGAAGGGTAATTAAGGGCCTCATAGGATTGCTCCAGGGGAATTTGGGGGATTGATGGGGAAGGAGCATTTCAGACCCACACTTACCCTTCTTCTGTCAGACTTTGGGGAAGGCTCTGGAGTCAGTTTGAATCCCAGGTCTTCCTCTTAGTAACTAGGTGACTGGGGCAAGTGATCTAACTTTCGTTAGCCTCTGTGTCTGAATAGTGAAAGTAGTAACTCACAGGGTTGACGAAAACTAAGTGAATTAATATTCATAAAGTACTGAAAACAGTGTCTGGCCCAGAGTAAAAAGTGATATCAAGTGAGCTGTTGCTATCACAAGCAAGAAATACTTCATGAGTTAATTATTTCAAGATGCTTCTAACTTAATACAATTCTGTTTTTCCTACTTCTGGCTTTCCCTGAGCACTCCCTCTCCCTCCAGCACTGATAGTAAAAGCAGAGTGAGGTCTGGAGCCATGAACTTGCCCAGGGTTACCTTCCGTGGCCCTCACTGACACATCTGAAATCACATCTCTTTCAGAAGGGTTGGTCCCAGCCTAGAAGGATCGTCAAGTCCCCTGGAAGGACCATTGGTTTAGGGACAGCCAGACTCTCCCTGGGAACAGAGACGACTAAGCACGCTTCCAGGCATGACCAATATAGGCACATGTCTACTTCTGACTCCATATGTTGGATGTTCCGTGACTCCACTCCCTAAAATAACCCAGATGGAATGAAATACCAGTTTCATAGTCAGAGTCTTTTCTAGGAATTCTGTAAATATAAGAAAATACCTTTTCTTTTTTTTTTTTTCTTAAAGAGAGATTTTTGCTATAGGCACTGCACTTGCTAGAAAGAGAGAGAGACAGAAAGTGAGAAATCACCCCCCAGAGGGGATGGCCACACCACAATCCTTTCTTCTCCATTCTCCTCTCAGGATTATGGGCACACATGCACATACACTCGGCATGAGTTTTAAGCCTCCAAGTCTGGGACTTGAACCTTGGTCAACTATGTAGGCGTCCAACAACATAACCATCATGCCATTTGCTGGTCCTGAAAATACCATTTTAAAACAGTGGAATAGCCACTCTGCAATTTCTGTGGGTTAAGCTTTCAGAAAAGGTTTCAACATCAGAAACACCTTAGGCCCTAGGGGCATGAGGGACCTTTAAGGGGTAATAAAAATATTCTGCATCTTGATTGTCGTAGTGGTTACATGAGTATATATATTTGTCAGAACTCATAGAACTACAAACCAAGGGATGCTTTTGCCTTATGTAAATTATATCTCAGTAAATCTGACTTAAATTGAAAAGATCAAAAAGGCATTGTTGACAATGTATACAGAAAAAAAATACTTTCTAAATTTAATGGGTTCTTAAAATTATTTAGCTGACCTTTTTGCTAGATAATTCTTCCCTTGAGCTAAGTTAGTTCAAAAGATGAAAAAGGGAAGATAAATTTTGGAGAATGGAGTCCAGAATTATCCTGCAGAACCCTCTCTGACTTAAAGTTTTTTTTCTTATATCTAACCATCTAACCCTAACCTGGCTCTGTTGGTTATGGCCAGACCATGGTCTGGATTTTCAGAGATTTTTATCAGGGGCTGATTCTTCCTGCCTTAAAAAATGAATGCAATTTATTGCTGCATCTATTCCCAGGTTTCTTGGTCTTTAAGAGGGTGACATGGGTTCTAAAACATCTGCAGAATTTACAGTCTATCCCCAAGGACCTTAATAGCAAGGACCTTCCAGTACCCTACCTGTCCTAACCGAGCATTGTAGGGCATGACTTTAAAGCAAGAGATGAACGCACATTGTATGGTTTCCTCAGGCCAATACAGAGAAGCCCTCCTTGAATAAGACGGAGCAGGCTGGAAGAAATGCTCTTCTCTCTGACATCAACAAGGGGAAGAAACTGAAGAAAACAGTCACCAATGACAGAAGCGCACCGATACTGGACAGTGAGTGAAAACTTATTTTCCATGGAGATAAATGGTTTGTGACCTAACAATCAACTCTACCCCTCCCACTTCACAAAAAAAAAAAAAAAAAAAAAAGATTTTTGGTTAACAACAGCTGCGAAGCTAGCAAAATAAGGGACTGTGCCACTCATTGTAGGCCATGACTTTGGCTTGGGTTCCCCTCTCATGCCGCAGGAAGCTAGTATAATAATTCTTTGTCTGAGACATACACAGCAGTGATTCTCTGAATTCTTCACAACAGTTTCTGGAGATTAACCCATTGCTTCTGGCACTGTAGATCAGGAGGCAGCATGAACTGTGGAAAAAGCCCTAGCCTTAGAATTGCAGGATGTGAGTTCAAGTCCTGGTGCTTCCATCACATGTTCTCTCCAAGCCCTACTGTCTTCATATCGTAAAGTAGACACGATAATGCCTGTTCTCCTGACTGCACAAGTCTATTGTGCACTTCAAGTGAGAATGCCTATAAAAGTGCTTTGTGGTCTGCAAAGTATAACTCAAATATAGGATATGGTTATTAGGAGCGTGGAGATGGAGGAAATGAGATCACAACCTTGTTTAATCTACCCATCTAAGCCTGAGATCCTTTCTGGAATAGGCTATGTATAAACACAAGTATCCATAACACAAAGGTTACTTATTAATATTTACAACAGAATGGAACATCATCCAGGACTAGAATCTACTGGTAATTAATAATCACATTTTGAGACTGTATCCTCACATTCCTAGACTTTGCCACTGCCGCCAGATGTCCCTAAGAGTCATCTGAGATGAGAGATCCTATAGGAGGTAGAGTGATCCACTAAAAATTGCCATATGGAGCTTTGTAGACTTGTAGACTTTGTAGAATATTGATGCAGGATTTTAGCAAAGTAGAGGTTTAGAGGGGCTTAGGGGAATCTCTAGGAGAAGTCCCTAATGGGTAGAGAAGGAAGAAGGATCAGAGTTAAGAGAAAACACTGGTATTTGGAAAATGGCAGGGAGGGGCGGGGCCACCTTTGAACATTCTAAGTTACTGGGTAAGGTTCTACAAATGTCAATGTGGCACCCCTCAAAAAGGAATTGTGGGGTTTTTTGACTGTTTACATAACACATTCTGACCTCTGGCTCAAAGTACCCACAAAAGCGATAAGGTTATGGTAAAATACCTTAATCCTCCTGATCAGTGTCACAAGATTCTTCCTGAGAGGAGCCCAAAGCAGTCACTTGTATCCGGGTAGCCTTGATCCAGCAGCTATGTGAATCATGGTCCCTGGTATGGTACCAGAGGAGTTGTCAATCTTTAGGACAGAGACCAGCAATTCTCTCTGCTATAGGAGGGATTCTAGGGCTCTAGAGATGTGAGTATGAATTTCCCACTGATACTGAAAAAGACTGGACAGACTGGACATATTCCTGAATCCACTAGGGGAAACTCACTGTATTCTTCAAGGTTCATTTCTCCTCCCATTAAAAGGAAATAGTGTTAGTTTTTCTAACTGCTTAGTGCTGTTAACAATGTGCTTTGCTTCACAGAAACAGTACAACCCTGTGCATGCCCTGATTGTCATGCACTTATGTCAACACCTATACTACGGTTCCAAGCTTTTTGCAAGTGGTGAAACTTACCTGTGCTCTCGTATTCATTTGCATGTGAAACCCCCCTGTGCTCGTGCCAAAATATTGAAGGTGATGGTGCCTGAAAGTTCTTGGATTCAGCCCTGTCTTGCCATTTACCTTCTGCTGAAATGAGTTGGATTCAGTTAGCTATCTTCAACTGCTGCTTCTCTGTCTGAAAAATGGACAGCTGTTCCAGTAAGAGCATTACTGGAAGATACAGCGTACCCGTCTCTGAACTTGCCCTATCATGTAAATGTGTCTTATATCAGTGCAGTATTCTGAAATGTATCATTCACTAATGAATAATGTATGAATGACAAGGGCAATGTTAGTATTATTGGCAATAACAAAAATTAGTAAAGACCTGTAATTTTATATGGAAGCAATTGTGCATATATACTTCTAGAAATAGTTATTCTATTAATAGTTTGACTTATCCTGTTAGGCAAAGTAATTCTTGTTAGTTCATTATCAGATTATTTCTTCTACCAGCAGAGCATCCTAGGAAGCTCCACACCTAGAACAGAGGCAGAGCTAACGCAAACTTAAAATGAACCTAATTCAGATAAAAAGAAAACACACGTGAATAAAATCAAACTCCAAAAGCAGATAAGAGATATGAAGCAGATTTTCTCAAGTTAAGGATGGTATTGTAAAGTTGTATTCTAAAACATTTTAAGATCTTGAAGAAATTAATGTTCTAAGTAAAGCATAAATTAACCCAAATTAGTGAATTTTGAAAATTGGGAAGTCTCAATGAGCAAGGAAAGATGAAAACTTAATCAAATTATTTTCTCTTCAGAAAGCTTTGGAGCCAAATTATTTTCTTAGTCAATTCTTTCCAATTTTAAGAAACAGTGAATCCAAATGCCATCTAAACCATTCCCAGACTTAGGGAGGGATGGAAGCTGTCTACCAGGTGAACTGCAGCTGGCATATGACTCTCACAGCAAAATCAGACGGCAGCAGCACGCCCACAAAGGCTGTATGTACTTCACTGGTTTTCAGCCAGGGCTGTTTGTCTCCCAAGGGACCTGTGGCAATATCTACAGACATTTCGTGTTGTCACAGCTCTGGTGGAGTGGGAGTGCTACTACTGACATCTAGTGGGTAGAGGCCAGGGATGCTGTAAACGCTCTCTAAGATGAGGACAGCCACCCACGACAAAGAATCAGCCAGCCCGGACTGTCAGTAGTTCCGAGGTTAAGAAACCCTACATAGCACTTATGATCAGTCATAGATGGTACAATACTAAGGAAAAATGCCCCGAAATTTCAATTCAATAGTATGTTACAAGAATAACGAATTGAGCTGGCACTATAGTCTAGTGGTTAAGGGAGCCAGATTCCACATGGCCAACTCTGCAGTTCAAATCCTGAGCCTCGTGGCTTGAAATACACACCAGGTGCATGTGTGCCAAAAATACTGACAGGATGGAAAAAGGAGGAGAAGGGATTGCAGTGTGACCATGCCCCATAGAGGGGTGCTTTCTCCCTGTTTTTTTCTTTCTCTCTCTTTCTCTGGTGAGTGCACATTTTCTGTAGCAACCTTTAAAAAGGAGAATAACTAATAAGACCAGGGTTTACCCTAATTTTTTATTTACTTTTATTTGTGATAGAGAACACATGCACACGAGAGAAGGTAAGAGAGAAAAAGACAGACAGACAGAAAGCACTCCCATCAGGCCCAGTCACACCGCGATCCTTTTTCCTACAGTTTCCCATCGTGCCCATCATATCAGGATTCCGACTTGCTCACAGACCCAGTGGGGCTGGGACTGGAACCTGGCCTCATGTGGGATCTGGCTTCTGCACAGCACCTAACTGCTGCACTACAGGCCAACCCTAGGCCACATGCATTACCAGAAAGAGACAAAGAGAGGAAAAGTGAGAAATCACCCCCAAGAGGGGATGGCCGTGCCACAGTGTCTTCTGCATTTTCCTCCTAGGACTTTGGGCATGCATGCACACAGAGCTGGTGTCATTTTCAAGCTGCCAGGTCCGAGACTCAAACCATGGTTGACCATGTGGGAATGCAGCACCTTAACCACTATGCCAACTGTTGGCCCCCAGGTTTAAAACCTATTTTTAATGTTAGAAAGTTTATTTATCCATTATATCAGATAAGAAAAGCAATATAATCATCTAAGTAGATTTTGAATAGTCATTTGATAAAAGTATATTCTATAAGGAAGTCCTAAAAACCTGAGACAGGGGGTCAGGCAGGTGGCGTGGTGGTTAAGAATGCTGGGCTCCCACATGGCCAACTGTGGTTTGAGTTTTGGATCTGGTGGCTTGCTTTCTCACTTTTTTCTCTCTCTCTTTATCTCTCTTTGTCCCTCTCTGGCCAAATTTTAAAAATAATAATAATAAGTAAGTAAGTAAAGTTAAAGTTAAATAATTCTAAATATAAAAAGAACTGAGGTAGGAAGATCCTTCCTGACTGTGAATATTTATAAAGGAAGAAAACATATTTAAAACCAATAGAATATTTAACTTTTCAAACATTAGAGGTAGTCTCATTAAAAGCAGAAGGTGGTTGCCTTTAGCAACATTAATAATGCACATTGTTATGGAAGTTCAGCCATCAAAGTAATTACCTACATAAAACAGGAATAAGGTCCACAGCTCTTAGAAAGAGGAGGCAAAACTTTTATTAATAATTTGCAGACCACATGACTACTAGAAAATGCAAGATTATACATTTTTTTAAAAACTGTCATTTAGAAAATACAGCAAAGAGGTTTATTAGATAGCACATGAAATTCCTGATGCTAGTAACAGCCAGTTACAAAACGTAACAGGAAAAGCATTTCTTTCACAATTTCAGCAAACAAATGTGTATTTGAAGTAACCGTAACAAGAAGCATAGATAACCTATTATCATAAAGCTACCAAAACATCCAGAAGGTATGAATAAATGGGAAAATAAACACATTTCCAAATGTGAAATCTAAATATCCTAACAGTGTCAGTTCTCCCAGGTTAATTTGTAGATTTCATATAATCATTATCAAAGATACAACACATTTCGGGGAGGACAGGACTTTAAACAGTGTTTAACCTCATAAATACAAACATACAGCACATGCATACATAAATTGTTAAGAGTTCATTTTTTGAGAATTATTTTATTTAACTTAATTTATTCTTTTTCTTTACATTTTTTCTTATTTATTTACATTTAATCCTGTCTTTACAGTGTACAGCATTTCTTTTTTCAGCATGAATACCATGCATGTGTGTCAGTCAAGACAAAGATATTACTACATATATTATCAGCAGCAAATAGCTTCTCATTTTGGGTCAATTAAACATACTTTTACTTGTTTCTTACTCTCCTTCCCCCCCTTCCATACCGAACTTTCTTTACCTCACATT